AGTCCCAGCGAGCTGCTAGAGTCAGTGGAGTTTGCCTGTGACAAGCCGTCACTCTATCTTGGTTGAGCTTTATAGCACCAGTCAAAGCAATCAGAGAAGATTGAAGTGACAGAGGCCCACTGAGTAAATAGTGAAACATGCAGCACATCATGAAATATTCAGCCAGGGTGTAAAAGCTCTAAATGCTTTTTCAATTATTAGCACCTGCACTGGCTGCTTACATCTAACACTAACAGCATGTTAATTGCCACAATTTGTTAGGATAGTTGTAGAAGAAATTTTAAGGACATGAGACACTCTCTAGCGTCTTCAATTCCTATTTTTCCTTTAGCAAACCCTCTTCTTCCTCCTAAAATTAAGTATGTGTGTACACATTCTTGCGAAGATAGGTCCACTAGTCAGGTAGGAAAACTCAAAATTCCTGAACCACAGGCAGCATGAGTTTCAAGACCCTGAATTTTGAGCAGAAGACTTTTTGTGCGCGAAATCCAGATACATTATATCTACCTGAGAAATGCATAATTGCAGACTTTAACAAACATAGATTAAAGAGAAGTTGTGTTTTTTCCCAGGTGTGTTTTGCTCTTGACTTTATATAAGGAGAATTTTATTGGAGGGCAGAATAAAAAGAAGCTAAAACGTCTTACTAATGTGTAAAGACTATCAGACTACAGTTTACTTTTAAACAGCACCAGGGTCCTCCCTACTGGTTGTATAGTGTTCTTGTTCTCAGTGCTCAGCACATTGAGTAGTTCCACTGCAGATCAATGAGGGTATGTTGCTCATTGCATATAAATAGCAAGAGGGTTAAGACAAGGGTGACAAAATACAAGGTTATGCTAAACAATAGTAATTTAATGAGGCAGCCATTTAGTTTGGAATGGTCTTTTCAGTTCTGTCCATCCCCAGTCAGTACTCAAAAGTTTCATACTCAAAAACTCCAATTTTGCAGTAAATGTGTTCTAGGAAAACAGTTCTCTTTAAAAATGTAATGCTAACTTCCTTGCAGTAGATTTGCTGGCAGTGGGATTTATGGTTTTGCTTTAGGCTGTTTTCTTCCAGGCAGGCTTTTTGGGGTTGCAGCTGTAGCATGGCATTTAGCGTCGTTTTCAAGTTTAATTGCACATAAGTGGCATTATATGCTCTTCAAAACCTTGAAAAGATGGTACTTTGCTCTTCATTTTAAGTCATGCGTATGTAATATCTGCCATAGGAACCAGGGAAGCTATTTTTAAACTGGGGTTATGGAGGAAGGAAATATAACTTTTCTTGCTTTCCTCCCATACAGGCTATAGGTGCCTGTCTTTTCCTAGATGGAATGACCGAATGCTTCGGTCATTGCAAACAACAAAACCCATCATCTCAATTAAAACAAAGAGTATGGATTAAGTTGCTAGGTGTTTTGCTGCCTATGATTTGAATTTTTGAAGCAGATGACTTTACAGCCTGGGAGACCATAATAATTCAGCACAAATATAAGCATTTCTACAGTAACCTGCCAATATGACTCAAGCACAGCTTGACAGGGCCATCTTCAAGGGTGAGGAGGCAGAGAGGCTCTAGAAACATTCAGTCCATGATTTGGCTGTAAGGGCAACAACTGTAATGCTTTGTGTAATATAAATTTTAATGGAAAGAGGGTGTCCAAACGCCTTAGGCAGATTTGACAGCCTTGGCCTCTCTGTATGTCTGTCTTAATTAATTTTTAGTATTTGCCAAACAGGTTTAGATCATCAGATTAATGAGGATGTATGTGTCCAAAGTAGTAATACTATTTTATTACTGTTCTGATCAATTCCATTTTTAAGTACATAAGTACATATCTTCTAACATCTGAGGACAAAGTTGGAACTTAGTAGCAAAGAGTTTCCAACCTCTATAGACATCTTAAGGAATCACTTTACTGAGAATGAATGAACATTGATTACAGAGAGATTAAAATAGTATCTTAGCCCAGATTTAAATTTAATAAACACACGTGTAAAACCCCACAGATTCAGAAACAGTGTGATTAAGTCTTATCACAGTTTCCTCAGGCAATAATCCATTCTCCTAGAGTAAAAGTACTATAGTGGTATCTCTTAGCATACTTTCCTGTTGTGTGTCCCATCCTGTTTGCTTCCTTTAAGTTTCCCCTTGCTATACTCCAAGCAGTGAAGCAGAGAGTCCAAACAGTTTATGATACTGCGGATAGGTGCATGTATTGATAAAAAAAAAATCCTAAAGCTTTTTTTAAAAAATCACAGTTTGTTACCTAAAACTTCAAAAGGGAGTTACATCTGACAATTCATAGTCTTTTTTCTTTCCATAGCCCACTTATGTTTAAATCTAAGATATTCTAGTAAACCTTTGCCACAAGCTACTTTGAATATTCCTTTTAGGATGCAAAGCCCAAAAGAACTATACTAGGCTTTGAGCACTCATACTCTAAAAATTGCCTCAAACCTCAAGGTATTTGACCATAATTAAATGTCAAATATCTGTTACCACCTGCTTTGTTATAACATTCCTTTCAATTTGTATCATTTTTGTGAATTGTTTTTGTGACTGGGATTAGAGTATTGCTAAGTACTCATGTGTGTTAAAGCTTCAGATGATCTGTTTAGTTTTATATCTCAGAGCAGAAAAGAAACAATAATCAATTTTCTAAGCAGAAAATTATAATGAGGCATTTTTTAAATTGCTTTGTTATAGTTTCTCTGATGAAGGATGGGGGAAAAAGAAAATTCCTTCTTATATGCATTTGATTTCTGAAAGGAAAAGAAGGTGATTTCATCAGTGAACTTTGCTTCTGTTTCAGTGCTCTTCTAGGAAAACTCATGAAGAAATGTTTTGTGAAAGTGTTGGGGGTAAAAAACCATAAACCCTGAAGCAACAGAAAGGAAAACATTTCTTAGTGGAAACTCCTGAAGCTTCCTAATCTTTTGGCAAACTTTCTTATTTTGAAACATATAGCTAACCCATTCCATTGGAAAAAATAGCTAGGACAGGGCACGGCTAAATGTTGTCTGAACATTAGGACAACCTTCAAATGTTACTGTGTTCACAGTTGCAGACCATATTGTACCACATGCAACTATGAGAAGATGGGGAATGCCCAATAAACAGTATCACAGTTAGCTCTCAGTCAAAACTACCGTGGCTGCAGGTTGCTGATGAATGGAGTAAGAGAATGTAGAGTCTAGATATTTTTCTAGAAATTAAAAAAAAAAAAGGAAAACACAACAAAAAAACTCAACCAAACCCTCACAATAGAACCCTTTGGTACAGCTTTTTCATCTCGGCTTCCTACAAGAGAGAGAGCACACTTATGCAAGGCCTGTCATTATTGAACCTGGAGTAGGGTCAGAGACTCCAGGTAATCCCCTAGAGGCTTCTCTGCTGCCAGTTTCAACTTTGAAAAGATAGTGTTTCTTTTTTCCAGATGGATCTGACTTATGCCTTTGCCATGTAGTGCGTTGATTGTCTTAAAGCATCAAAAGATTCTTGTTTAAGTGGAACATTGTATTAATAGTTTCTCAACTTTTTTTGAGGAACTTTTTTTGGAGTTGGCCCTGTTTGAATGAAATGTGTGAGAATTTTACAGTGATTTCAATGGGTCTGTAATCAGTGCTTATAAAATTACACTAATTAATCACCTTGATGGAATGCACGATTATACCTCTCTCAGGCATGCAAATATAACTCTTGGTTGCATGGTAATTTACCATACTATATTCAGGGTAAATTAACCTATATCACACACCGTGTTCACAGTCTCCTTTAGTAGATGATACAGAATAGAGGTTCTTACCACAATATGCTGGCTCAAATGCTTTAAAAGCAGAAAACTTTGCAGTTTTAAGAGCTCAGACAATATGGGCATTTCTTTAACAGGCTTTAAAAGGCAAACTTTTAAAAAATTTGGATACCTGTCTCAGAGTACTTAGCATATTCCTACATTGCAGATATTTTCTTCCTTGAAATGTTACAATTCCATATCAGCATATTTCAAGCATTCATGATAAAAACCTGAGGTAAAGACTGTGGCTTTCCAGACAAAACTCAATTCCCTCCTTAAATGTACGATTTGAGGATCAGTTTAACCTGTGCCTTGTGAACACAATTCTCCTAATGCTATTGTGTAATGCAGTCGCTTAGGGGTCCTCACTAGCATCTGAGAGTGTTGGAGTCACTTAGTACTTAGCTTAATGTTTGATTTTAGCATATAAATTAAAGAACCTGTATGTATCTGTGCTTAGATGTAGCTATATAGCTCGAAAGCAAGTTTATAAAAATGTCTTTCATTTGCTTCTCCTTTGAGAAGCCATGTGCTTTAAAATCTTGCTGCAAAAACACTTAGAAGGTTGTCACAGGTAGAGTTGTCAGAGCAAATGGACATTGTTGTTTGGTATTAAAATCATGTATTCCAGATGTGGGCATTTGTTAGTCAGTCTGCTCTAAAATGACATACTGTTGAATCTTTAAAGGGCTTCAGTTTGGGAAAGCAAAATATGATTGGGCAAATTGCTAAAATATTTAAAGTGCAGCCTGTTAAAGCTTTTACTGTGAAGAGCATCACGTCAGAAGTTGTATGTGGTAAAAGCAAGTAATTGGCTTTCCATACTTATGCCAGTCAGTCAGCATGGGGCTCTGTTCCTATCCCTTCTACTTCATTGCAGATGCCTATAGCAGCTCTGATATTTATTTCAGAGGGGTGGGCCTGGAAAGAAAAAAAAAACTTTTATGAATCATGATGGTGTCAGAAAACCCTCTTTAAAATTAAATGGTTATTGCTATAGAAAGAGTATAGAAAATCTTTGAAACTGCACCCAAAATTTAAAAATTAACTTTTCTATTCAGTTTTTGTTTAAAAATGTCATCATTGAAAGCATGTTAAAGTGCAAATACGTTTCATTTTTTTACTTTTATCCCTCTTCATACTCAGCTCTTGGGATATTTTTCCATCCATAATTCATAATATTTTCCATTTATGTTGTCCTCAACTTGTTTTTCCCCAGGCATGACCCCTTGTTAATTCCTGGCAACGAGCAGATTGACAATATGGATGCCAACGTGAAAAAATATGACTCTACAGGGATGTTTCATTGGTGTCCAGCCAAGGACATTGAAAAGGTCATTTTGGTAGGTATTGATGATAAGTTGTGTTTCAAAAGAGATTAGCTGAACCACAGAACTGGTGTCTAATGGATTAATAAATTAGTCTCTACTATTATGTAATCCAGCATATTGAAATCAGAAGCACAGCATAATGAAACCAAGGCTAGCATTTTGGTTAAAGCTTTATGATTACATAAATCTTTACACCACGTGCAATAATAAAAATTTGTCCAAAATAGAGCATTCCTTTTTCATAAGCTGAAATTTGCATATCTGGTTTAAATCTTTAGAGAATTAAGATAGGAAATATGTAAATGGGATTTACGTACCCCATTTATCTTTTTACAGAAGTTAGTATTGATTCTAATACAGGGAAGTGTTGCTCTGCATTGTCTCTTATTTATTGATTTTTTACTAATTATTATAATTGATTATTTATTAATTTTGCTCTCTTAGAACTTCTTTCTCAATTCCCAATATTCCAAGATGCCCAAATAAGCCAGAACAAGTAGTGCTACTACTCTGACTTTCTAGCATGTTAAAGTGAGCCTATTCTATGTTTGTTTCATTTTCTTAACTGGGAAAAGCATCAAACTGACTCAAGTCATTAAAAGTAATTAGAAGGCCTATCACAGTCTATTTTGCAAGTTTGTGCCATTTGTGTTCATGTACTCATACCTAAGAGTAGCAAGCAACTAACTCCAGATCTCATACACAAAACTGATTATATTTGAAATGAACTCCCTGGTGGATCTTCACTTTGTCGCACTTCATAAAGCTTTTCCCGAGCCTGCTCTGTTAGATTTCCCTGCACTGTGGCAGGGTGTAGCCAACGATGGTGACAGCCCCAGTTATTCTATTGGGGGTTAAAAGCTTGTCTCTAGTTCTCTTCAGGGGTTTCTGTAATAACTGTGACATTGCCTGGAATTACAATATTGCTGTCTAAACAGTCAAGCAAGTAAATTCCAAATTCTAGAGATGGAGCTCTGAGAAGGAGTTTTAAATAGTATGCATTTATATGTAATCAACAAGCAAGCAGGGGCAGCCCTGCTGTACAATACTTTGTAATAGACAGAGAGAGAAATCTGCCTTCATGCTATACAGCACATTTTAGCTGACAAACTTTACATGTAGTCCCACTCAGAAAAGTGGTCCTTCAAAAATGATGCTGAGGAGTGCATCATTCATCATCTCTCTGTTATACCATGTTAGTTTTTTGTACTACGAGCCTGTGAATCCGCAAGTCCATCCAAGTTCTTTCTGCTTCATGCATCATCACCAATAAAGCCACTGCCAGCAAAATGCTTCCCTACACCTTTTCAAACTTGCAGTCCACAATTTATGCCTACATTCATATCCATGCAAATTTTATGCTGTCCTTAGAGACCACACAAGTACAAATTAGTGCATAATTTGAAGATGATGGGATTTCCCAGGTTGTCTCCTAATTGATACTTGATGATGCCTCAATCAGAAAATAATTCATTTTTCTGCCCAAGGTCTGTTTTGATTTTGTGACGTTCCAGCAGTAACTTGTAGCAAGGAGGATTTTTTTCCTATACAGTCAAATGTACATACAGATCAGTGATTATAGACTGACATTTTTTGCATAATTGCATTCAAGACTTGTTCTCTGTCTTGTAAAATCTGGGTATTCTAGACCCTTTGGCAGAGGCATGGGACAACTTACATGGTTCACTTGAGTATTCGTTCATGTCTTCTGTTTGAAGGGCCAAGATGACTCTCTTGGTCAAGCTATATGAAAATCAGCGTAATTGCCCTGGAGAAATTGAAAGCTCGTGCATTTTTTAACTGATGAGAAAACTTCTAATCAGAGTTCCCATTCTTCTTGCATAGTGAGCATATCTGCTGCATATTCCAACCTGTATTGCAACTCACCATGCTTCCATGATTTAGAAAAAGGACACATATCTTACTGGATAAGTAAGAGGAAAATTTTACAGTTCACCACTGGCTTAGTTTTATTCATTGGCAAAACTTCTATCTAATGGTAGTGAGTGTACAACTTCTTGGCAATATGATATCAGTGGATCTCCAGGTACTTGAAGGAGTACAACAATTCTAAGACTGGCTTCAGAACTTAAGGCCATTTTTTTCTCATGATTTTATTTAATCATCTTGGTGTTTGAGTTGCATGCTCGACTGACCTAACAAATGATGAAATTAGTGCAAAAATGTATTCTTGTCATTGAGACAAGAAGATAGTTCTGGACATCTTTTAAATATTCTCCAATAGACCTTTTTGGTTCTGTCTGTTCAACAACTCAGGAAGTCCCATTGGACTGAAAATTTAATATTGGTCACAACCTTGCACTATTTTTTTCTTACTCAGAGAAGCTCTGTGGAGTATAGTGGGCATCCATAGTAAAACAGAGCAGTGTAGAGCATTCTTTGGTTGCTTCTCAGGGTAACAGCGGCTTGTCCTAAAATAAGAACTTCGTCTGTAAGAGGCTATGGTCCTCAATTCACAAGATCTGGGTAATACCACGAAGCGCTACTATGACCATTGGGCTTTCACATTTTCCTTTTCAAATTGGTCCTGAAAAAACTCAACTAGTGATTCATCAGCTAGGGTGTGGGTTTGCATCTCTTTTCTGTAATCCTTCTATTGGTTAAATATGTAGTAGGTCAAATTCTGTTCTTAGCTAAACCCATAGTACTTTGATTATAACCAGAGCCGCAATCCATATGTGTAGAAACTTACACAGGACCGGAATTTGGTCCAATACAATGTCTTCCCAAACGCCAAAAGATTTGCAAACAAGAATGACATTTTCTTCTTCTGAACACATGTAATGAAGGATAAATAAGGGTAAAATGAACGGCTGTTATCAAACTGCTTCTTTGTGCATGAATAATATTGACAGTTGTATTTTTCCTGATTTTAAATTCAATATATGATTTAAGATTCCCTTTGTTTCATTTTTCCCTTGTCTTTTGTTTTGTTTTGTTTGTTTTTTTTTTTTTAGACTCGAAGTGAAGCAGCGATGACAGTTTTAAGTGGGCATGTAGTCGTTTGCATATTTGGGGATGTTAAATCTGCTTTGATTGGATTAAGAAATTTAGTGATGCCATTACGAGCCAGCAACTTTCACTACCATGAACTCAAGCACATTGTGTTTGTGGGTTCACTTGAATACCTGAGAAGGGAATGGGAGACACTGCATAACTTCCCCAAGGTTTCAATCTTGCCTGTAAGTTCAAAAGCCGTATTATTGATACTTTGTTATTTAGGACACCAACTGGACAGATTCGTATTGACTTTGATCTTAGTCTTTTTTACTTTTGTCTACTTATAGGCCTGAGGACTTAGCTTTTTGCCTTTACTTGTCTATGAAAACAGAGCCCTGTGAGACCTTATTAGAAGATATTTGCCGTAGTGTTTGGTTCCTTGTCATCCTCATCGGATGAATTTCAGCTGCTATCAGATGTATTGGCTGTGTTATATTGAACATTGACTGCAGTGCACTGCATGTAGCCAGTTCTGATGTTGTGATTTCCCTGACAGAATGACAGTAGTTATTTATGACATTATTTCTGTATTTTTACCCACAAAACCTTTGAAAAAAATTATAGTTTATCTACATAATATCTATCTGTATTCTTAAACACTTTGGTGGACTGGCCTGCTTTATAAGGAACAGTACTATAGCATTTCAGTTCAGAGTCCTGCTGTACTCATGTATGAAAGTGTACAACAAAACCCTGACCTTTTTTAAATCGATGGAAAGCTCCTATTGATTTTAGTAGGCCCAACCACCAAAACCACAGTTCAAAAGTTCTTTTTCTCCTAGATATCATTATCATTCACTCATGTGCCCAAAATGTAGAATCAAGAACTCCAGGACTAATAATGAAGCCCTCCAAGCTAGTGATCTTAGGTGGCCATAGCTATAAATGACAAGCAGGAGGGAAACCAGCTCATGGTATAAGTGTGAAAGAGAATGCTCTGTATGTAACAGAGTACAGTTAGTTTAGATGGTTTTTTCCAGAATGAAAAAATATGAGTTTACTAGTTCTTAATAATTATGTTTCAGCAGTAAAAATAGATAAATCAATGATGGATGTAACCTTAACTGAATAATTGGAAAAATAGCTATAGAATGAAAGGACTGTCTTCACTTTTTGATTAATTCAGACTGCAGGTCTTTGTTACTGTAAATGCAGTTTTAGTGTTAGCCCTTGGCTTTTTTCTGTAACCTGATCCAACAGATGGTGTCAGAAGATTCTCTGCTGTCACAAAAATAGTGTCAATATCAGATTTGGTTAGTTAATATCTTCCTCTTTCTGCCAATCCCTTTTAATTCCAGTCACTGTGAAGGCTAAAGACTGTGGAATCTGAATACTGTTGAACTATGGAGCAGAATATAATCCAGCTACTACTTCCAATATATAATGTGTATCCATTATTATAATGCATTTTGTAGTTTCAATTCTGACTTCTGAAGAAGCATTAAGGAAATATACACTACCTTTACTTTCCCCAGTTTACACCCAAATGTAGAATAGTTTCAGACTAATTTTGACTTAAACAGCTTAAATAGTTAGTCAATGCATCTTTAAAAATACAGAATTATATAAAGGAACTGTATCTGACACAGTAATCAAGGGTGCTGAAGACCACACAGACTTCATTACTGCTTTTTCCAATTTTTTTTCCTCAGCCTATCTGGTTCAAAATAAAATGGTATAAAGTTAAAAATAGCAGCATTATTCTGATCTAATTATACTAATTAAATAATCTACTAAAATTTCTGAGATTATTCTGGTAGGAATTGTGTTAAAGGGAGGTCACTCAAACTCACTTCCTACTTCTCTGTGCTTTGCTTCACGAGGTAAAACTTGCTGCTGATATCTGATGTGGTTACAGCTGAATATAAAAAAATTTGTTCTGGTTTGAAAAAAAAAAGTAGACATGTAATTTGAAGTCTGTATTAAAGGAGGCCTTTAAGCTGCTGAGTAAACTCTTAAAAAGTAGGCAAATGCCAATTTTAAATATCCTCAGGCAGCCTTAATTCTGTCCCTTTGCATAAAATCATTAGGACTAAGCCTTTAATTAATTACATGATTGCATATTATTTTTCCCCACAGGAATCCTGCTTCACTTGGTGCACTGTACAGACACAAAGGGCAGGATTAAGGTGGCAGGAATAATCATATCCAAACTTTTGAGTAGTTTATAATGAAATCATATCTGTTTGATATATACTATTTTTCACGAGGTTTCATGCCTTAAATTGTCGAAAGTAACATGGAATAATTAAGCTGGTATCTGAGACTATATGGCAGTCACTGAATAAGAATTGAGCTCCTTCTTCACTGTGTGCATTTTAAATTCACTTTTGCATTGAATATTCTCAGTGGAGTTCGGGAGATGTTCGCCATGAATGATCAGGGGATGGAAGAGTAGGGTCTTGACTTGGCTCTATGAAAGTCGCTGTGTGACAAGGGGACAGTTATGTCTCCTCATCATTAGGGTCTTTGGGTACCAAACCACGTGAGGCAGCAGAGCAGAATCTAGTTTCCATTAAAAAAAAAATCTCTTTTTTCCTTGGACCTTGCAGCCCCTGTGACATAGAGTTAATATTCTGTAACTACAGCTGTGGACTGTTGGGTGTGAAAGGCAAATGCTATCTTTCAACAAAACATATCGTGTTAAGTGTCATATCTCAGTTTTGTTAACTATGAAAAAAATCCATGGACTACCACGACATTTCATTTTAACAATTGCGTTCTCTGATTGAGAACTGTGGAGCAGGGAACGTTTCATGACTTGTGCCCACTAGGATAAAGTCTTGTTTCTGTTTCAAAGGGTTTAATCACACAGCTTTGAGGATCAGTGTGTTTTTCTTCTAGAAGCACCAAAAGCATGCTTTGAAAAGGATTAACCTTTTCTGTGTATTGCTTTAGGTAGAAAAAAATAGCTTTATCCTGATTGCATTTCAAATGTGTAGGACACATAAGGCTTTCCTGTTTAAATTGCCGTTCTTTTGCCCAAGACCATTGTGACTTGGTAGTAGATAAATAGACATTTAAAACAACCCCTTTCTTATATTCAGAGAGCCAGAGGTTGCCACATGATAGCAACTTAAATCAAGACAATTTCAAGTCACCGATGAGATGTAGAATGCTGGCATTATTCCTGTTTCTTGTTTGTTAGTAATAGCTTGACTGAGTATTGAGACTGAACCTAAAATGCTGCCATCAGCACCAACTACCCTTTAGATTAGCACACATCTCCTATTCCCTGGCACATAGTTAGACCAGCTTAATGTCAGAGCATAAAAAAGATACTTGTTAAATAATTTCCCAAAGCTCCTTCTCAATCTTTAATTTGTTTTTCTTTTTTTCCCTCTTCTGCACCCCCCCCTTTTTTTTTTCTCCGTGCCGAAGGGTACGCCATTAAGTCGGGCTGATTTAAGGGCTGTCAACATCAACCTCTGCGACATGTGCGTTATCCTGTCAGCCAATCAGAATAATATTGATGATGCTTCGCTGCAGGACAAGGAATGCATCTTGGCGTCACTCAACATCAAATCTATGCAGTTTGATGACAGCATTGGGGTCTTGCAGGCTAATTCCCAAGGTAAGGACTGCCCTATAATACTTCTCTGCAGTGCCTACAGGGGACAGGACCTGGCAGGAAGAATATCCCTCACTCAGTAATTCAAAGAGCCCTACATCAGCTTGCTTGACAGTTAAACCTGCTGATTGGTATGATGACTTTTAAAGGGACAGTCACACAGTTTCTCTGCTACATCACAAAGCACATTTTTTAGAGGAAAAATGAATGAACATGAAACTGGCGTTTTTTCTCATTTTGACAGTTTCCTGGAAAATACATAAATTCACCACTTTCTCACTGTGGCTTTCTTACAGGGGCAGTTGCTGTTATATAGCCAATGATGACTTATACTCACTTTGGAACACCTGAAGTTTCTGTCTAATGAGATTTCTTTTTTATGTAAAACACATTGCAACCACAGAGAAAATACAAGATTGAGTAATACAAGGCAAAAAAATAAAATAAAAAGGACAAGAATTTTAAATTTTCTTTACAGCTCTGGTGCCTTCTTGCTCAAGAAGCCTCTTAGAATTAATTCAAAACTGATGTCTTCCCATGGTTTGACATGTACTCATCCCACTTAAGGACATTGAACAAAATCCTTCAGTCTTTTCTGAGAGTAGGGGACTGATTCAAAGTAGCCAAAGGCTATTTTACACCATCTGTGCCTGTGCAAAGCAGCTGCAAAGCAGTCATAAGCACCCTGGCAAAGACCATCAGTGTAAAAACAATCATCTTCCCATCCCTGAAGGGTCTTGCAGTTTATGCAGCTCAAGTCCTACCTTTGATAAACCTATTAACTGCTGCAGTAAATATTCCCACTGGATCTAGCTCTTCTATAAATGTAGGTGTAGAAAGGGTAGTGCTTTGGTCTGCAGTTTGCCTGTGAGCCTGACCTAGAGATAGTTTTCCCTCAAGGACTGTGAGAACTAAGATTAAGTTCAGGTTTTCCTCTTTACATTCTAGTAAGGAAATAGGAATTATGAGCCAAAAATCAGTGGCAGCAGTGTAACTTCTTGAGTATGGAAACTTGAACTTGGAAAATTCTTTCTTAGACTCAGCAATAAAACAGTGGAATTTAATGCTGGAATTAAATTGTATCATGAAACTGAAAGTTTTAATTTTTCAAAGTCAAATTGGAGAGTTCTCTGGATAAAAAGTAGATTTAAGAAGAAGAGAAAGGAACTGGTTTTTTTCAATACCATGGGTGTTCAAAGTTTTAAGTCTGTGGCCTGAAACCAATATAACTCCCAATATTTTAGAGTTTTTTCCTCATAAATTTGTGAGGCTGACTTGCTCACAGCATGATAACTTATAGTCATGATTAGGAAACTCACTGCTGAAGTGGAAGACAGTCATGCAGGTTCCCTGTTTTGCTGATTTAGACCTGGAATTTGAAATTCTGTATCTCAAAACCAAATCTCTACTTTCACTGCCAGGCTAGTGGCTGTTCTTTGAGGGACCTCTCACAGTCTCCTATCACACAAATAATTAAACTAATCAAGAAATAGAATCTGCTCTTAAGCATGAGCACTCTGAGAGAATTTCCTTCTGTCTTTGCTCGGAGCTTAGAGACGTTTCCAGCACTTGACTGTTGTGTTTTACCTCTGGGAGCACCCAGGATCTTAGACCAACCCTCAATGAGAATGGAAAAATCTAACAATATGGGTCTTGTGCACTCCATGAACACCTGTCATTTTTTACTCTCCATTCCTTAGAGGTATTCAAGATCTGACTGCATAAAGCCTCAAAGAAGCTGATCTGACCTTACAGTTGATCCTGCTTTGAACAGGAAATCAGACTAGAGCCCCTCCGATGTCTCTTCCAGACTGAATTGTTTTATGAATCTGTAATACCCAGGTTGCTGCTACAGTAATAGCCCTATAGGTCAGGGAGTGTACACTGGCCATGGTCCAAATCCCTTTAGGCTTATTCAGTGTTGCTGATGCAGAGAAGCAGAGACACAATAGGTTAGCACATTCTAAGAAATTTTCTTCAGGTAAGTACCAGTCTGCATGTTAAAAAACAAAGGTGACTCTTTCTGTAGCTTTTCTGGGGAAACGGGGCATAACATAAGGCAGGTAACTAGCAGCCTGTTTTAGTTGAGAGCACTGACTAAGGAGGGGTTCTTGTAAGCCCAGTGGCTTCAGAAGATAGTTACCTTCCCAGTACATTCTCTGCTTATGATATCCACAGCTCCTGAATTGGTTGTGTTCCTTTCAGTGCAGTAAATTTTCTTGAAAGACCTTGAATACAATGATTAGACTGTCAGAAGCAGTTAGATCATTAGATAGCAGAAACTTTATGGAAATTATATGCAATGTGACATTTTTGTTTGTGAAATGCATCTTTAACATATGGTGGACACAACTATCATGACAATTATATAAACTAGGTGATTCAACTTTTGCTAGTCAACAAGCAGCATACTAGAAACAACCTCACAGCTTCTTACTGGCAATTAAGTACCTTTGTTTACAGAGAGAATTGTCATTTTACATTTGTACATTCCTTGACATAATTATCCTGAACACATTAGCTGGTACAAACCTTAAGTATTGCCAATCTGAGTTTTTCTAGATCTTAGTGTATGATTTTGAAGTAAGACGTCAACACTATCTTTTGAATCTTCTGTGCTGCTTTTTTATGTTACTCCTGTTACTGATCATCAGAAACATTGACATTAGAAAATCTGGGTGTGTGGCAGAATGTCAGTTGACCTGTGACAGGGTCTTGAAAAGAGAAGAAACAAAACAAAATATGTGAGCAATCTGAGAAATGTATGGGATAAACAGCAAGATTTTTGGTGAGGGATTTAGCAGCATAATCTTACCTTCGCTATTCTAAGTAAATATATAATATTGTATATGTATAATTATGTAGTCACTACGCAGTGGAATCTCATATGAAAACCTGATATTTAATTCATGTTTATGTCTTTGAAAAAGAAAAAAAATAGTCATTTAATTGATAGGTTATTGAATGCATAAGGATCTTCCCAGTTTGTATCTGTGATTATTTCACTCCAGCATGAGGCAAAAGATGACACCGGTACAAGAAGTGTGCCATAAAAAGCAGGATGCAAATCTATTTAACCATCAGATAAGCCATAATCATTCCCCAGTGCTGAAGTACAGGGCTATGGCTATAACTCCTTTGCTCTAAGTTGGTAGCAGAAAAAGAATCCACAGATTCGGGGATTTCATTCACTTTTTTCCAGAGCCTCACCCTCATCACCTACTTTAACACGGAAGTCACTACCAGTCATAGGCATTCATCACCAGCCAACACTCTGTATCCATCGAAACATACCCTTTCCAATCAAGGACATATCTTTGAAACGGAACTCAGATGCAATCTGAGAGGAAAGATCTTGTAGAAGGAACAGGAGAGTGGACGCATGACAGCAAGCCTTCCTGATAGAGAAAGTTCTGTAACAATAGGGCTGCCAGTACCCAATGGATTAAGTTATCTGCTGAAAAAACATCTTTGAAATAATCTGGTTTATATCAACAAAGGATTTTCTCATTACTAGTTCAAGTTGAACTTAATACACACACAGGTCATACAGATACAAAGACTTTATAATGCCTCCTTCTGTAATAAAATATCCCCAGGTTTTTGGGCTGGGTAGGATTAATTATCCAGACTTTCTATAAGTAGTGCAACAACACTTTTGACCTCTGGCCTGACCGTCTTGAGTCATAACTGATCCTGCCAGAATTGCATCTTATCTAAGCAAAGTGCTCCACCTTGATCTCCTACAGAAGAAAAATCCAACTCACTGTTCCAGGACACAGGAAAAAAACAATATTCTGGACCAGAACTACAAAGGACCATGGAGTACCCAGAGCAGATGTCATCTAAGTTGTCAAATCTATGTTCATCATCAGCTGTCTAGGAACATAAGTGGCGGTCTGAAAAATAAAAGCTAGACGATCCCAGTCTGGGGAAACTGGAATACTTTATTGAACACGAGAACACAATTTAAAGGCATCTGGGGCTGGACATGTTAATGAAGGGGACAACCTATGTTAATTGGGGAGTTACCTATGGTAATTGGGGAGTTACACAAGTTTTTACTGCAGTTTCCAAATAGTTAATTTTTCTCCTATTAGGATTACATGAGAGATAGAGGGATTACAGGGGTTTAGGCATGGTTTGATATAATCATCTCAAAAAGTCCTTTCTGATTTCTGCTGGAGCCAGGCTTTATCCATAAGGTAGAACTTTAACAGGTCTTGTGAGAAGGGTCCAGCTCCTTCAGATCACGCGATTCTTGTCAACCCTTGTTTTCCTTTTGCTGAAAGCTGGGTTTGGGCTCCTACAACATACGACCAAGCACATGACTACACAGAACTGTGAGTGGAAACAAGCTGTCTTCCTTAGAAGGAAAAGCTTACTAACTGTTCTGGAAGGATTTATTGGTCTCCTTTACATAAAATGTGTAATTCTACTCAAAAAGAATTACTCAAAAAGAAACTTTAAAATTGGAGCTGTGCTGTTGAACGTTGAAAGCATTCTCAGGGCTGTCTGCACTGAACATTTCAAAGCTGACTGGGCAACTCTAGGCTTGCCAGAGGTTAGGGGTGCCTGCTCTAATGTCCTGAAAATGAACTTTTGGAAGTGATCAGGGCAGTTTGTTGCCTTTGGGAGACCTAGATTCGAAGGACAGAAAGGCCAAAATGTATCCCACTGAAGCTGCAGCAAACTATCACTTTCGTTAAGATATCTCAGCTTTTGAAATACAAAATGCTGTAAAGTCAAAGGTTGGTCCACTTCTTCACAGAATTACTCATAAACAAGGAAGCCCTGTGTTTATCTTGAAGTTCCTCTTGCAGATCTTGACTGATTGTCTTCCTAGAAAGATTTGTAAAGAGGTATGTTTCCGGTGGAGAAAAAGGTCACCCTCCAGTACTGGAGATTTGTTTTTATTGTCCTTCCTGTTTCTCTTTCTGCTCCCTCAAATACCAATTGAGGTTATTTTATCAAGAACTATTTTGGAGAGAAGACCAGAGAAT